TTTAAAAAACTTTAAATAATGTTGAATAAATGTGTCGTAATAATTAATCCACAATTTCTATCTAAATTAATAATTATAATTAGAAAGAGGAACATTATTTTTATAATATTTTAATACAATAATAATAATAATAATAATAATAGCAATAAAGATTTTTTACTATCCCGAGAAATTTGAGGAATAAAAAACTTATATTTATATACTTATCATATTGCTTACCGCATATTATTTAAGATATGACAGCTAACGAATCATTATGGCTGCTTGATACTCTATATCTTTTGTTGTGCGATCGCCAATTTATAAAGCTCTTCTCCCTGTTATCGTGTTTCCAAGCAAACGTACTGTCTTGATAAGGTATCGTCTGAAAGAAATGAGAGACGACATTGCTACGTCATTAGTCTCCATTAGACGTGCTCGTTCAAGACGAGATCCCATAGGTCGGGTAATCAAAATATGCGAGCCACGAAAGGGCTACTAAGAATCACTTGACTTCACTCGACCTCGTCGCCAACTTGGCGGAGAGTCCAAAATATCACGTGCTTATCATGGGAAAAAATTGTGCAATATTTCTTCTTCATTATTACATGCCATTTAAGAGAATTGTCTGCCCTTTATAATAAGATACAAACTGTTTTCTTGTGCTCTTTTTTTTTCTATAACCTTTTAAATGTAGAACTCTTACAAAAACCTTACGAAAGAATAAGCGCTATCGTAGACAAAATCTTATTATACTCTGCTAAATTTCTTGAAGACGCAATAATTTCGATGCAACTCGATAAATGAATTTCACTTAAATCGACGATCGATGTGGCTCGTGCTAGTTGATCTCGGAGAAACTGAGAATCCGAAGCTAAGAGCATCGATTTACTTTAGAGCTCCGTTTATGGAACCGCCAAGCCGGAATAATTCGTTTCGAGGCTAGACGTATCTTCGAATTCTCGCCGCGTGCTCCAAGCTGCGTGGCTGAAGAGCAGAAGACAGGCCAAGGAACCTGGAAGATGTAGCGGGCAAACGCGTGCGATTAGAGGACGCGAAGGATGGATGACGTACCCGGTGCGTCCTGGTGGCGAAAGGATCACTGAGTGTGAGAGAGGATGCACAAGCATACCAACCAGCTTCGCGGTCCAGGTGGCCATAATGGCGGCTATCACGGTGCTAACAGGGGCCCCGTGAGGAGATGGAACAGCTTTCACGGCGGCGGAGGTGGCGGCGGCGGTGGTACGGGTAATTTCAACGATGGCGTTGGGAACGGCGGCACGAAAGCCTGTCAGGAGCCCTTCAGGGCCGTGCCGAAGGCCGTACAAGCCCTCAGGAGCGAGTCGGTCGACAGGACTCATCGAGCTCAGCCGCCGCCACCGCCCGCGTTTCCCAGGAGGAGATTTTCCGTGTGGTGAGTCAGTCCTCCGTCCGAGGTTTATCTTCTGCGAACATTTCGATCGTGTCGAAAATTTGAAAATTATTATTTATCGTTATCCGTATTAACAGCACGCATATCCAAAAGACATCCGGAGGATGTTCGATGTTCTCTGGATAGCCTCTAAACGTCTTTCGGATATGTTAGGGTAGAATTATTAATTATTAAGAAATATTGACAAATTTATAAATATATATATATATATATGTGTATTTTTTTATGTTTCTCGAATTACGTAGGAAACTTGAAAAATAAAATTATTAGGAGTTTTGTACAATATGTATATCTCTCTTAAGGTAATTATGTATTGAAATAATAAGATGAATTTTTTATTAGTTGTTCAATATATTTTTAAATATCAATCTGTATATATGAAAGTTTTTAGCATCAACTTGTTGGTTACTTTACTTTAGTTATATAAATCCATCAGTTTATTATTATAATTAGATGCGTGTGAATTATCTACATTTTTTTACATAAGTAGTATGTCTGAATCATCTTGTTGTTTTCAATTCTGTAAGTTGATAAGTAAGTCAAACCGCAATTTCGGTTTATTATTGTAGAGTATAGATAACTTACCTCTATTATAGAAAGAGACATATATAAAATTGGTCTTTTTAACTATTAAATTAAGAATTAAATCTAATTTATTTTTTTATTTTAGTTGAATAGAGCAACATAAGAAAATGTGTTATTAAAAATGAAAGTGTATACATTCCCCGTGGATATATTTTTCCTCATTATATCTAATTAACCTAATGATACTATATACTTTTTCTGCAATTAAAATTATAGTAATTTACTTTGTAACGTTTTTTTTTATTGCGATTATTTTACACAAGATATTATTTCTAATCGCGCTTCTTGCGCTTTAATGTTTTTTCACAAGTCTTAAACATACTTTGTTAAATACAGAGAGATTTAATTCACACTTGCGGCGGAAGTCGTCGGCGGACAATTTTGCGCTCTCGGCCGCGTAAAAGGGGAGTTTAATAGCGTGATGAATAAGATTAAAAAGAAAGGGGATAATAGAAAGGATAATAGCTCTAACGATGTCATAGAAATATTTCATTACGTTGAGTGGATCCACGTGGCTTTTATATCTGTGTATAGTGTCGTGAAATGGCACGAATAATTTCGCGAATGTCAAGTGGCGGAAAGAGAGGGCAAGAGGCAGGAAAGACGTTTAGGTATGCAAAATTGTCAACAATAAGACAGCTGACTACTCCAGTAGTTATGTTAAAACCGAAGCGAATTATAACAAACGTTTCTCGTACATTTTGGAAAATGGGAGAACACTTGAAATGCTATCGTATACAATAAAGCGGATGCGATGTTCTTCGAACCTTGATTGCCGTTGTGAATATTTAATGGAAATAGTGATATATATGGCAAATTGCTTGCAAGTCCATTAGAAATATTTAGACCAGAGATTTTATTTAAAAATTTCATTTTTTTTTATTCCAAGTATTTTATATTAAGTTAGCAGAAATCTTTTTCACAATTGTAGTGTTATGCATGAGCTTCTATATTATTATATTTTTTAATTATATACTTTATGGAGATCTTTATATGTAACATTTCTCGTGAATATAAATATTTATTTAATTAAGCTTATATAGAGAAGTAATTCTCAGAAATTTTTTTCCTAGAATTTTTTTATATCATTCAGTTTAATGAATTGAATATTAAAATGTGATACTTACAACTATTGAAATGTCAGTTTTGAGTATATGAAAAAATCAAATTTAATCTATGAATCTATGAAAAATTAGTTAATAGAATATTAATAATATTCTATTAATAATATTCTATCTTTATAAAATGAGGATATCTTAAAGTTAATTATAAAATAATTTATGTATTTTCAAGTGTTATTTTCAGTGCACTTATTATTATAAAATTTTACTCTTGCCCAGTTACCGAGTAATTTCTGAAAGCTCAATCATTGAATTAATCGAATCAAATATCATTAAAATTAATCTGTCGGATAATTTCGGCGAGATCGATTGTTTTTTTTTATTTGGCCTAAGGAAAGACGGCGGGAATGTCGCGCACAAGTATTGAAAGTGGATGGTTTAGTAACGAAATAATTATAATTTTGACGAAGTAAAACGTGCAACGCGACATTTATGGAGTTAACAATATGGTTGAGAGATTGAGAAGCATCATCCATGTCGAATTCAATTTTCTGCGATGCACAAACACACACAAATACACAGAAGATGAGCAATGCGTTACGCATGCGTTACGCGTGCGTTACGCATCGCGGCTTCGCTTGTGTGGATAAGTTAAGGGAGGAGCGGGATAACACGCGGGTCAACAGCCTTTGACAACCTTACGGCCTTCAGCAACCTTTCTTTTCTTCCTTCTCTTATCCATCATCTCGCTTTTCCGATTCTCGGCTGGCATTCGATTCGCGGTCGTCACCGTTAAATTGACTTGAAGACTTTCCGCAATGAAAAATACATACGGACGTAAAAAATTAAAATATTCAAAAAAGGAATAAGATGGGTTTTTACTATGTAAAATTGTTAGCTTTCACAATACATAATTTTTATGCAATTTTATTACAATTTTTATATTGTAGAAAAATTTATATTTCTTATATGTTTGTGTATTCTTTTTACATTTTAGATAAAAAATATATAGATTTTTGTTTAACAATGATTTCAAATAATTGATAATTATTTCGTTAGATAGTTTATGTTTTACTTTTCTATAATATGAGGATATTATATTTTATTTATTTTATTTTCCTATAATATTTAACTGCGGTATCAGAAAACGAGGAAGAAAATTTAATGTCACGCTATCTTCTATTAGGAAAAGCAACCTCAATTGGACAATTGCATTTCGGCTATCTCCCCCAATATATAGTATAATCGTAGAAGATTTTCGCCGAAAATTGGTTGCGCCATTGTGCTTTTATATAGTTAATTTGAGAAGTGCTCTTTTCGACGATGGGAAACCATCTGTCGGTGGCGTATAACATCCAATATAGGTCGTAGAAGTTAATACCAGGGTGTAGCATGACATCACGGAATTGGTATTTCAGCGAACGTGCAAACACACTTGTGTATTGTATCGTTCGATTCGAAACGACGGGAAATCGAGGGGTTCATATGGTGAATCACGTTTCGGAAGCTCCTTTTTCATCTTCTGAAATGCGATATTTAAAAGAAGCCAGAAAAGATTATCGAGATCACTGACTAAATGTTGACAAACGTGCCTCGTTTTTGTCGTACGTTGGGATCTTTTTTGAAACAAAGTGTCACTTTTATAGCTTATATTTATTTAATAATTCTAAGATAAAAACAATTAATATTTAATATCTGTTAATATATATTATATTAACTAATTGATTGATTAATTGATTAACTATAACAGATATTAAATATTAATCATTTTTATCTTAGAATTTATTAAGTAACGTATAGCTTCTTTCACACGATAGAGAACGTGACACATTTTCTTAAAAACAAAAAAAAATCTAGAAGAAATCTAGAAATTTGTAGAAGATGTGTAACATTTTTATACGATATCCGATCAATTTTTCAACTTGAATATATTTATGTTACAGCTTCGGGAAGCGGACGGGTGGCAGTGCCAGGCGACCCAACGAATGCTTCGTCCTCGAGCCCTCCGAGATGATTGTCGTGAGTAATTTTCTTTGCTCTATTAAAAATAACGTAGCGAGAGGAAACTGCGTGGAAGGATTTGCGTTTAATTTGTTTTCGAAGGAGAAAAACCGCAGGTATGCTTTATTTGTTCAATTTTATATGAAAGAGCGAGTTGCCAGCGCGCTCGCGCGCTAGACAGTTTTAATCAAAACCTGGAAGAGCAATATAATTTTTTTTAGCCGCGAAATGCGAAATTGTATTACGGCTCGAGCATTTATTCCGAGATATTTTCCCGAGTATTACGCGCTTGTGTTACAAACTATATACGGTATAAGCGGCGATATCGCGCGGCGAAAAGACAATGCGCTCCGGACGCTCGTGAAACGTGCAACGTGGTAGACAGTTAATCAATAGTTTCTCTCTCTCTCTTTCTCTTACTCCCTCGGTGTTATATTATGCCGAGGTTGAGTTTTGGATCCTCCGTCACGCTCTCGTAGTCGTCAGGCTTGTTTCATCTCGTTTTCATGCGGCGTTCGTTTCTCTTATGTGCGTGAAATTGGGGCAAAACTTTTAAGTATAGACATGCGGGATCACTAACGATTCGCGCGGAATCTCTCTCGAAGATTACCGTATCGATCGCAAATGATACGAATATCCGAGGAGCACTTTTAATTGTCGGAGTTTTTTTTTTGCAATAATGGAGAACATTGATCTTGGTCTCGATCATTTTTTTTATTTAAAGGTAAATTATTACTCGGTTTACAGTATATTTTTTAAGATTTCTTTAGATGACAGCTAGAACTTGCGACGAAAATTCAAGACGTTAAACATACATGTGTATTTTAATTTATGTATATTTATATATTTTGATTTATATTTTATTACATGATACTCATAAAATTTGTAAATAAAATTTTGTCTTGAATTTTGTCGCAAATGGCAGATCGTTTGAAGAAATCCTCTTTCAAGACAGATTATACTTTAAACTTTGTGAATGAATAATCGGATAAGTAAAAAATAATTTATCACATTTTCCTGTGAAAAGGAGAAAAGGAGAAAATATGCGATAGCGGAATATTCCTCTTTAGATTCCACTTCATTTATGCATTTTTATTAAATTATCTTGAAATGTGAAACGGCCATCAATTTCACATAAGCTAAGCTTAATTACATTCGTAGTTGCAACATTAATTGCAGAATCGCATGGAATTATTCTGATATTGCAGGTGAACTTTATTCGAGCATATCAAGTTGAAAATGCTGGTTTCTCTAATTACACAATGTGGACAAAATTAAGTTTCTGATTCGAGCTGCCATCTGTAATGGCATTCTAAACTGCTTTACCGACAAATAACGTCACACACTTGCTGATTGTTGATTAACTTGCATTCACTTACACATATGATTTGTATGTGAGATCATATTTTTCATTAAATAATAAAATTAAAAAAAAATATTCCAACTTTGCGAGATTTCTAATTATATTTTTTCAGCTTTTATTAATTTTTTCTTTTACTTACGAGTTTAATGTGTACAAAGTATATTGATAATTTTATTATAATATAACAAATATAAAAATCTTTTTAAAATAAAATAATTTTTATAATTTTTTTTGCTTTAAATATGTTTTTTAGTTTTTGATTTTTAAAAGCGATCTCATGTGCATATATGTGAACGCTTTGATTTCTTTGGAGAATTTTTAAGTAATATTCACGCTATATTAAATATATTATTCGATTTGGTTGCGACATAGAAAGATGTTACAGTATATTGGATTTGAGGCTTTAGTTCACTATCAATCAGATTCAATTTTCGACGACACACATACCTACTCGGCTTACACACCACAACAATCGGATATAATCTAGCTATGCATTTAAGCTATGCGCACCCTACATCCCAATTTTGCCATTAGAACAGTTACATCACTCGCAATAATCATGCGCGTTGTTTTTCACTGCGTTGAACTTTGAAATTTCGCTAAATCTACGCGCATTTCTGAGAATTAGTGTATTATTTCAAATAATAATGATAACATTAACTTATCCGGTCTCTTTGCGACTCGTAAAGCTTCATTTCATTGATAAAATAAATTCCATAATTGGGGGATAATGAAATTTGCTGTGGAATTGAAACGACAGGTCAGTCTATTTTTCATGACATTGTTTTAAGAATATGTCCGAATAAATAAAAAATTTATAGGAATAATTTATTCGAACCATTTATTTGAAAATGTAATAACCTTTGTTCTGATTTATTTAATTTTTTCTCACACGTCGACGGGAAACGTGAAATATGAATGAGGATTCTTTTATCGCGAGGACGTTTATCGGTTTTGACGAATTTTGATTGCGTGTTTGTCGGTGATTTGAGATTTTCTTCCACGTAATGTCGGGAAAAAAAAAGATTGACACCACCGTGGTACACGCGAGTTCACGTGCGTCCTCGAGTGACATTGTGACCTGATAACGAGAATTGGACGTCTGACCTTTAACCTTCGTCTCGTGGCACTTTATCCCTGTCGCTTTGCGGCATTCGAGAGCTCATTGCGTAGGGCTTCGTCGCTTCGGATGATGATTTATCATTGTCACGGCGCCTCTGCAAATACTCTACTCTCCTCTAATGCTGAAAAACTGTATGTACACCTACCTAGCATCCCGGAAATGTGTACTCGTACAATGTCACGTTCTTTAACAAATTTGAGTCGCCTTTTCCTCGGCGAAATGTAGAGAGAAATATTCAGATATTCTCATTAGAAATGTCTGAAAATAAAATCTCTTTTTCGCGGTGACTCTTATTTATTATGATTATTATTTCGCTCCAGTTTTTATCTCTCTTTGTTCAATTAATTACTATATTTTTGTAATATAAATGAACAAGGAAACAATTAGTTTTGCGGTCAAGGAAACGATATATACTTGTGGGACGTGTTGCTCGGGACATAAACGGAGTGTCACGTCGCGCAGGATGCGGGCATTAATTGCGTAACCGAGCACGTTTTATCCTTCGATGCGTCGTCGGCGCGTGCAGTTTTCGAGAAACTTTATGCGCCGGTGACGAAACATTGTCGAGATACGTCGGCGCTCGATGTGCCGCATTTATGAAACATAAATCTTCTTTGTTCCTCGTAGAATTCGATCACCGATCGCGTTGCAATTCATTAACATCGAGCACGTGCACAGTGGTATATATGTATAATAGAGACCTTGTCGACAAATTATAAATCTGCAAGCTAATATGTCATTGGCTTCGTTAATTATTATTATTATTTCATTTCATCCAGTCAACAGAATTTATATCATTCCGATAAATTTGCTAAATTTTGCATTTTAATTTTATCAATATTTATCGAATATCTTCCGAAATGATTAAACGAAACTTTTCGTAATCGTTAAAAATTCGCATATTTGTAACGATACTTACGGCGGATTCTCATTATATCTCAGAATATCGATCATTGAAACGAATCCATTGACCGAGAGACATTTTCGATTATTTTCTGTTCCGTCATTTTCTCAGAGAGAAATAAATTGTCGTTTACGTTTTGATCGAAACTTTCGGCGTATAATGATGTCGCTTTTCATGCGCGAACAGAAAGTTACCCCTCAAAGGAAAACTTTCTATTTATCTGGAAAAGTACGCACGCGGTATATATATCGGCTGGGGCCAATTTCCCAGTAGGGAAACCGATAACCGGCGACGGATCGATCATTATACGACGAACAAATATAGGAAACTTAACTTGGAGACCAACAAGTTGCAGTTCCGATAATATCGCGGAATAATCCGTTCTGCAGACGGATTGCCTCGTTTCCGAGATCGCGTATCCTTCCTTCCTCCTTCACTATACCATTGTATGTAAACTGATAACTAGATGATAGCAATCTTCGATCGCGAAACGAAAAAGGATGCTGTGCAAAAAATTCGTCGAAAAAAAAAATCAAAAAATAAAAAATGTATCTACCGATAGCGAGGAGGAAGGTTGAGAAGGAAAAGAATGCAGAAAAATTAAATAACGTTGCTAATAGAATTTCCGTGCCGGTTCGTTCCACACGCTCCGTGCACCCAATTATGCAATTATACAAATTGCGATCTGTGTCTCCCACGATTATTTCTCGACCCAAATGCAGGCGAGTCCGTCGAGATCGCTATAATCGCAAATCGCGCTGCACTTCTAAGCAATCGCGATTGATCGATATCCGATATATATATTTCGTTCGCGGAGCTCAAACGTGCTTTTTTTTTTCTTTTTTTTTTTTTGAATTCTATGACGGATTTTTTTCGCCATATTCCAAGTACGACTGCGGAAATGTTCGACGTAAATATATACGCGAATTTACGTAAGAATCGCGGCGGACGACGCCACATCCGTTATGCGTAAGCGTCTCTTGGATAAGGATTCATTACGCAGGGGATGCGTACAGGAAGTTTGAGTAAAATCGGAGCCGTGACTCGTCATGGTATTACTCAGATTTCAGTTTTTATCTCCGAGCTCCTTTTTTTAACGCCATTGTCCAAGCAGAAGGGTCTTTCTGCGTGTAATCCGTATTCACAATGCAGATTCCACTGTAGCTAGTTAATCCCATGCTGGATGAAATTTGCATATTATATAAATAGAGCTTGTAAAGAGAGACGACTCAACTTTGTTACACGTCAGGATAAATCTTTTAAAATTTTTAATGGATTTATGGTGAGATTTTTTTTTTCTTTTTTTATCGTGATAATTAAATTTTAAATTATGTATATTTTTGGTGTAAGACGCGAAATTCGAAATCTTGAGAAATTTTGACGGTGCGATCGATTGAATGTATTCCGGCATACTTTGCTGCACTTGGTTTGCTGAACTTTGACCGTACCTTCTTGCCCTTTGACATATTTCATCGACAGCATTCAACAACGGAGATTCTAATATTACAGTGAAGATTATTCTAACTGTTATTTCGAGGTATACTGGCTTATTGCAGCGCAAATTGAAATAATTTGATTGCGGCGCATGCTGGTATGTCTTCTCTCTTCTAGCATTCTATTATATTCTT